ATTAGATATTATTATTTTAAGAGCTTTCTTTCTTAGGAACAATAGAGTGATACTCAATAGCAACAAAAGCCTAACATTAATATATCACTTCGAGTGACTCGATAAGATGTTAGATAATATTTCAGTCAACTTGAAATCACTTTGAGGAATATTAGTGGACTATTTGCGTAATAATGTGAAATTATAACTGACTGATATTGCATACAAAACGTTATTTTACTATACAGACCTGATAAGCCACTTTTTATTGGCGTCACAATGCATGAATGGAAAAACCAGTAAATTAATGTAACAGGCCACATTGTTAACATCCTTTACTTTGTTGTTTATTTAACAGGGTGTTTCTGTTTTTGATACTAAATCGTGGTTTACCTGCAATTTTACCATTTTCAATAAATTTAGTTGAAGAATCGGAGGCCATCTTGTCAAAATAATCAAATTTTAAAATGATTCTTGTTCAAAAATTAAATTATATTTTATTGAACAATTTTACATTTGATAATCTTAATTGAGAAAGATGTCTGTGATAAATATGATCGATGTCAGCCAATTCCAGCGACAGAAGTTGGTTTCATTTTTTCCAATAATACCTACATAGTTTATAAGACCAAAACACGATTTGTTCGTCGATTACTTTCCTAAAACTGTAGAAAACTAGTGCTTTGTTCAAATCTCGTCCTTGGTTTTATTTTCACGTTACTCAAATCGAAAAAGAACACTATTTTAGAACTTAAAAATGAAGAAAAAATTTACAATTTTTTCCAATCGACAATTTCACTGGTGGTCAAATTCGAAGATGTTTTTCGGAACGCTACAACACTTAAAGTAGTGTCAAAAATGTTCGTGCATTTTCCAACCAACCCGACTTAATTAATTTGGCAGAGTACTAATGTTTATGAGCCGTTGTGAGTGTTTTATTACTACAAGATTATTTCATTAAATTTAATTGTACATACTTTCTTGACTGTGTTTCACTTCCAAATCAAAATTAATTGCTGGGTTTCAGTCATTTATTATCTCTATTTACCAATTAAAATACGTTTCGGTGTATTTTTCCACCATCATCAGTTTTTCTAAAATGACAGATAGTTAAAAAAAATTTCATTAATTTAAAAAACAATCGCAGTTCGTCAACAGCCTCATCATATCATACACTAAAATACATCACAATTACAACACTTTAATACATTCTAAAATTAATTAGGCCTAACAGGTCAGGACAATCAAATTTGGGAAGAGACTAGAATTCTTTGTTCAGATACTTAAATATTTTTACTTAATAAGTAAAGTAAGTGAAAATATTTAAGTATCTGAACAAAGAATTCTAGTCTATTCCCAAATTTGATTGTCCTGACTAATCACCTGTTAGGCCTAATTAATTTTAGAATGTTTCAAAGTGTTGCAATTGTGATGTATTTTAGTGTATGATATGATGAGGCTGTTGACGAACTGCAATTGTTTTTTAAATTAATGAATTTTTTTTTAACTATCTGTTATTTTAGAAAGCTGATGATGCTGGAAAAATACACCGAAACGTATTTTAATTGATAAATAGAGACAATAAATGACTGAAACCCAGGAATTAATTTTGATATTAAATTTAATATAAAACTAAATACAGAATATAAATGCCAGTGAGCCCACTCACATTTGATAAAATTCTGAAATTGGGAACGAAATGTTTGAGATTTAGCCTCAGATGTTCAGCATGCCACATTGACTACATTGTTCTCAACGAAGCATCAGAAATAATTCACGGTCATATTTAGTCTTAGTTACTTTCAACTATTGGATTTGGCTGCATAGTTGAATGTAACTGAAATTGGCTGATCGTTTACTTATTAAATTCAAGTGTTTCGTTATCGTATAATTACAAGTTTTGAAAGCGTTTTACAGAGAAACGTTATGGCATCTATTTTTGAATAACACACACCGAATATCTTACTATGGTTTCCTCAGTTAGATGCCTAATAGTTTAAGAGATACGACTGATTGCTACTTTAGTAAATTACTCGTTATCATTCATTTTTGTATGACTTCAAGGTTCTTGTCCAAGATTGTATAACGGATATATTGTTCCTAATAAGTTGAGTGAATGTGCGTACCTATATGATTGTTGCGGGAAAAAAATTTATCCATTTTGTCAGTAGCAGAAAAATGAAACATCCAGAAACTTGGTACGCAAATGGATGAATCCGTGTGGTTATTTATCATATTCGTTTCAAGTCCAAGTAAAATAATAGTTGCTATTAACAAATAAAAAAAATTACCGCGTTTTGTGCAAATATTCAAATATTAATAACATGTAATTAAGTTACAGATCCATTCTAAAGAATCATAGGAACAAATAAAGCAACAATGAGAAACTATAATTAATTAACAAAAGTAATAGATTTCCAATTCTGGATAATCAAATTGCATTACTTGGAAAAGAAACACATTTTTTAGGATTAAATGGAGAATGTATTTATTAAAACATGTCACCTGCAAAACTGTTGATGTTCATTAACTATAAGAATATTTCCGAATAATTGAAACCAAGATTTCTTTGTGAAAGTTATAATTTTTAAATAAGCTTATCCTGAGTTTTTATAACAAAACTTAAGGGCAAAAACAGTAGTTTGCTTTATAAACTATATTCGAAAAATGGCTCATTAAAGAAATGTAAGGTATTAAGGTTAGGCAAGTAAATTAAACTTTCTAATTGTTGCTAGTAATGTAAATATTATTTTTAGGTTTGTCAGTGGTGTGTTCTCTAACACGCAACTGGAGTTCGGTACTCCTGGGTTTTGTATAAATTCACAATCATTTTTTAGTTCTTCATTTAGTTTCAAAGAAAATACTTTTTGATCGTGCATGATTCAGCACTAACAAGCGAAAATAGAAACTGTATTACCTAAAAAGCGAAGGACCGCAGCAAGTTAACTTGTAAAAATCGACTGTGACAAAAATCAAAACTAAAACTGAAACGGAGAAAAACCCCAGCCAAATTTAAACACCCTATATTTGATTTACGGTGCATTTTCCATCTTAATCTATAAAGCAATCTTATACTATTTTCCGTTTTTCCATCAGCCCCCAAAGCTTCCACAGTATTTGTTTAAAATGTTTATTATAGATCAATATTAAATTATTGACAACAGAATTTGATATACTGAGATTAATTAGTCACCAAATATTTTTTGTTCAACCTACCCTGTATTTGATTGTATCATGATGTATAAAAAATGTCCTTATGGGTACGGCATGGTCCCTTAGCGTCCAAGAAAGCAGTGGTAGGATAAAAAATATTTACATGCTGTAAGGTGTTAAAATATTCAGACAAATGGAAAGACAAATAAAAATTTTCAAACGTAGCTAGTTTGATTTTATTAACCTTTTGTTAACCTTATCAAAAATTAAACTACTTCTTAGTAGTTAATTACGTTTGATTCTTAATCTAAACGTTTTCGCGTATTGTACACTTATCGGGAAAGTTATACCTGTGCAAAATATTAAAACTTGCAGTTATACTCAAAACATAAATTTTGTCTATTTAAAATTGCAGATATCTTTGCAAGTAGGCATACAAATGAAGAAATATTCCTAAATAAAAAATGTATAGGTAGGTATGACCTGTTTTATTGAACGCCGCCGTGTTCAATGACAAAGAAAATGACGGTAAAGTATATAGGGAGATTTTTAAATAAGTCCCACATTTCACAGGGCAATTTTTCAGAAACTTCTAAGATGAAAAGTTCATAAAGGCATGAGGCAACAAGGGCGCACTTATCGAGCTACAGGGCGTGAACAGATTCGTTTTAATTTGCGTTTCTTGTAAGTAGGTAATTTTTGAAATGATAATTATATTTGAGCGAAACTTGGTATTTTGTGATTTTGTAACTAAGATACTTACATTTGAACTTTGTTTTGATCTTGCTTGTAGAGCGTGCTACCTTCAATTATTTTTCTCTGTTAAAGGATTATAACATTTATGTGCAAGAAAATTAGCTTTTCTATTATTTTTACGTTAAAGAAGTAATCTGATTAAAAGTCAAAGTAGGTACTAACCACCGTTATCGAAATTATTTGATTTAAAGTACCTAATCGACGCTTGTACTGAAAGTTAAAAAAATTGTTGATTTAAAGTAATCGACGCATGTGTTTAAAATAGGCAAGTTGCATGTGTTGCAAAACCACCAAATAACAAGTTTCATGCAAATATCGATATTATATAAAAAACTACTTGGAGAAAACAAAAATGTAAGTTAATTTTTCAATACCCTGTAGTTTGACAAGTAAAGCCTTACATACCTCATATGGAATTTTCATTTTAACAGTTCCTGAGGAGTCGTCCTACTGTACACGAAAATTTTCGACGACGTTTTGTGAGACTTTACAGAGGAAAATATAATAAGTATTTAATTAGTTAATAATGCAAAGATTTTACACATTTTTAATTAAAAAGTAATTCCTTAGTCAGGAGGGTCAAAATGAGTTAGACGTTAATATTAGTTATTAATTACCTTGCAAAACAATTGTAATCAAACATAGTCAAACAAATAAATCGGTAAACCACTTTGCCAAATATCTCAGATGTTCGGCTGCTGTTTCAGTTGTAATTTTACTTTTCATCTGTATAGGCAAAAACATGTCCTCCTTAATGATTAATTAATATGTTATAAAATGAATTAAATTAACCTTTTACAATACAACTTACAAGGGCTTAACAAATATGTAACTTTTAGGAAATTTATAAGTTGAACTTTCAAAGAACATTTAAAAAATCTGTGTATAGTAGATGGCTGTAAATGAATGTACGATTTAATAATATATTGTACGATTTGCAGTATATTGTAAACCCAAAAAGCAAGTGATTCCCGCACAGGCATCGACTACGAGACTATTATAAACATTCTTAGAAGATCATGCAGGATTTGAATTGGAAAATTGTTTAAACATCAGATCAAAAGAAACGAAGTAGAAGGCGTTGCTGAATAAAAGACTTATATGAATCTTACCTTAGGCGTTTGGCTTCATCGATGAACGGTCTCTTCTCTCCTTCACTGAGCAATTTCCACTCAGCGCCCAGTCTTTTGGATATTTCTGAGTTGTGCATCTTCGGGTTCTCTTGGGCCATTTTACGACGCTGTCCTCGCGACCACACCATAAAAGCATTCATTGGTCTTTTGATGTGTTCTTGGTTGTTCTGATGAACGTTGGATTCTTTCGGCGATGACATTTTAGTTGTTTGGTAATGCGATTTTTTATCAAGTTTACAAGCTCGTTAAGACTGTGCTATTAAAAGCCAAATGTTTGACTAAGATGCAGAGGTGAAACTCAACATAAATAAACACAAAACACTTCGAGCTCCTATAGACCTGCCAGCGGGTCGGAATGTTCTATCTAGTTGTTCAAATAAAATGTAGATACTACGAAAGGCATAAATTGCACCAATTTTTATCACTGAAGCGTTATCTCCTGTAGTCGATAATATAAACTGAAGTTGTCGGTCTTGTCGCATGCCGAGTTTCAAAAACATTCTCCCCCCGTGATTTAATAGGCTGGTGGGGAGAGGGTGCCGGCCGTTACGGGGGCGGAGTAAGCGTGAGCCGAAATATTCGGGATTTATTAGGCTTTAAAGTGGTGGTTTTACATAATGTTGTGTTTTGTACTTGGACAGGATTTGACGGGGAATTATCACCGGTTGACCTTCTCTCACATTCTTTCAGGACTGTATCTAAGCAAAATTCCAAACTACATCTATCCTGTTTTAGATACGGGGGGGTTACATCGTCACTGATATTGCAAAGTCCAATAAATGGTAACTACGATTTATCAAGCGGCACATTCAGGGTGCCACAACGGACCAAATCTGCTATTAACAATATTTATATGTAAAGATAAACGGGTCTTTTCATTTCCCAAAATTACAGAATCAAACTAGTCCGGGCGTTTAAGAAAAATGTACTATTATGGAATCACTTAAAGCCTTAATGGRATTTAAAAAGTAGAATGTAGTAAAAAGGTATGTAACAGAAAAGTGCCATGTAAATATTTTAATCTGACTTTGTTTATGARTAGCTAAGAATCTAACTAAAAATTAGTGTTTCAACTCCAAGCGAAATGATAATTTTAATTAACAAAGAACCAAAACTGACTTCATTTGGTGCAAATGTCTCGTCAAAGCTTCTACATTTACATGGCAAATATTCAAAGGTAAAAATGAAGCAAAAATGCGAAATAATTTCTATCGGACTGGTAATGTAATAAAAATTTTAAAATCGTTTTATAATAATGCTTTTGATTGGTCGTAAAATAAACAAATTTGACAAATACACTAATATTTCAGGTTTCAATGATGAAGGCTTTTATAGCCCATAGCTATATAAGTAATGGCTTTATGAGAAGAAACATTGTTTCAGTTATAATATTTTTCATGTACTTTATTCACTGTCAATCAATCTATTCAATTTAAATGCACTGGGGCTAAGTTTGTGTCTTTTAAATACGGTTATTAACCCCATTTATGAAGCATACGATAAATTGATCAGTTTGTCAAAAAAAACCTCTCACCTGCAAATTGCAAATCATTCAAAGTGGCGATATAGAAATTAAGACAAATGTAAATTTTCCCATTATAATCTTAATCTAACCCTGTTTTAGTAAATAAATGTTATCCTTAATAAATTAAAAGATTTTTGTCATAAGCCACAATGCAACAAAAATAAGCATTTAAGTAGAACTTACTAAATATAATCGCTCAAATTTGGTATTTAATGTGGGACAAAACGAGTCTACATATATGTACATTTCATGATGCATAAAAGATAGAAAATTAGCTGAATAAGGAAATAGGAAATATGAAATTTGTATTTGGCCTAATTTTCCTATAGGATTTTTCATCTGTCAACGTTCCAGATTCTTAGCTCTAACAAAAAAGTGTGTCATCCAATTTGGTTCAAATTTTTTATATACACTTTGTTAAGTTTCCATAAATCAACATTTTAGTCTCTAATTACACGAAGCCAAAAACGTTTAATTATTTTCCAATTGCTTAAATTTCAAGCAACTAAATTGAGTTTCAAGGAATGTTATCAATATTATAGAACATGAGCGGGTGCGTAATTAAGTAGGTGAGAGTAAAATTGTTAAGTTCAAATTAATCTGTTCGATTAGGCTTTTTGGGATTAAAGCTCAACGGTTTAGGTGAAATATCAATTAAGTTTGTATATTTGATTCATTGCCAACTTTTGATGCATTTATACTTGCAGATATTCTGCAACCGATAAAACCATCTTGAATTTATGTCAAATAATTCATTCGTTAATTTCTATTAAACTCAATACCTATATTTTTGTTCGTGAACAAATAAGAAACTACATTTGCGGAAATTAAAAGAATTTTATCAGGTTTTACTTGTATACAGCGTTAAATATTTCGCCTATTTTGATTTTGTATGTGTGCATGAATAAAAAGTGGTATGTATTTGAAGATAACATTGATACTCTGGATATCATTTGACGAATTCGATAGGTTTTAAGTTTTCGATATACTTGCTTTAAAATACAACAAATATAAGGAAAAGGCAAATGTGCCTGAAATTTTAAACATACATTATGGTATTTTCAAAAACCCTCACTTCTAATTTTTATGAAATATTTAGAGTAAGGATTTAAAACCATGCAGTTTAGACCTTCTTTAAACCCTTCACAGGTATACTTAGTGGCGTAATGGAAAATATCTAGCTTTTTCCGGGCCATCCTCAAAAAACATATGAATAATTATCAGTTCGGTTACATTGGCTTTAAATTAAATTACAGATTCAAAATAAAAATGTGAGTACTAAAATAACTCTGTACAACAACTTTAAGGATCAGCTAACTTTTTGCTGCATATACGTTTCAAAAAACATCGTTTAGATCATGTAAACTCGATAGATTAATAAGTAAGTTTTGATCTTGCCGGTATAGAAGACATTCGCAGGCTACAACTCAAGGACGCAATGTAAGATATCCAGATACAAATAGGAGAGATACCCAAGCCAATGGCACCAACAAGGCGGAGTTTGAAACAATCGATGCCTGGATGGAGGGGTGTAAACTCAACAAGTGTCCCGATCGTAAAGATAGTCACAGCTAGGGAAAGCTGCTAATCCTTGGATAAATTTCAGATTGGGGATATAAGGGATAATTGTCAAATTGAATATATATCGGTAATTTCATGGTATCGTAAGAACAGGTTTGGACAGATTAAATGACTTTGCCTATGGAGATTTTTCACGTATTTCGTTTATGTTGGAAATCAAAAAGCATGTTATGGCTTATCCAATCGGCTTATTATCAACTAATCCGCTGACGATAAACGTGAGATTCATTGGCTTGACATGATACCATTACCATTCAATTTAAATCAATCAACCCCATTTTGGCAATAATTGGAGATAATGAAGTGATTCTCTAAGTTTTTTCTATTGTTCATTAGTCAATATAGATTATCTTTTTAGGACATTCGAATAATAAAAAAATGTACTGCTAAATTAATCGCTTGTAGTAGTTTATTAAAAGATATCAAAAGTGGACTTTAGCTCAGTACCTATTGACATATTTTATAGTTGCTTCTGGGGTATCAACTCCCCATGTAATTGAAATTAGATAATAACAAATTTAACTGTTCAATGTAAATTACATTTACATTTTCGTAACATCATGCATAGAAGTAAATTATGCAGAAAACTTTTCACCCGAAAGAATTAAATTTGCGCACATTATGTCAAAAAAGCTTTTACATCATATGATTTTAATTGCTTGACTATTAAGAGTGATAATAGTAATACTATTAGGACAAAATTATTGGACAAAGGACAAAAATGAAACAATTGGTTTAATCGAGTAATCGACGTAAAATTGATAGATGCTTATTATTTCTCTTGTAGATTTAAATTGCATTAATGACAAAGTTTAACCGAAAGCTGAGTTCAAAATTAAATTATGGCTCACTCAAGAGAATATTTCTAAGTAAATCGTAAAATTAAAAGAAAAATCATGACAAAAATCAAACATGAATAAAATAATGTCTACATCTTGTTGAAAAAAGTTTATTGAAAATATAGAAAATCATTAAATTTTGTTCTGGAATCTTCATGGTTACCTACTTCTTCAGAATACTATTAATGAATAGGCTGAAAGCCATATGGTTCAAACCGTAATAGCTTTATACGAAAATCTCACACAAGCAACAACGAGCGTATGGAAATTTAAACTAGTAAATTAGTTACTTTCCGTAAATAAGCTAATTAAATTTCCATATATGTTCTTGTATTTCCAAATAGCAGTATCGCATATACATTATGAAAATAATATAAAAAATGCAAATAAAATATACGTTTTTCTGTATGAAAACTGATTGATGATTGTGCTATCTGAAAATTGATTTTCATGATGAATTATGACAATTGGAGTTCAAACTTTTGATATTTGATTAACGGTTTAATGAGTATGAAGCATTGTAAGATACGTCCAGCATTCTTTCCAGCGCTTGGTGGTCTTCCCTGCGGTCTTGCTATTGTTCATTTTAGCGTTTTTGACGAGTCTGTTGTCCTCCATTTTTTCTTCATGTTTGTTCCAGAATCTTGTTTACCGACTTGCCGATCTTCCTATGTTCTGTATCCCGCAATGCTTTCTTATGTCCTCACGTTGTACTGTCGTATAGAGCTTTGCCTTGTATGCTCCTTAAGGCCTTCATTTCAAATGTCCCATAATTTATAAAGTTCTGCTTGTACTTGGTCTTGTTTCTGCTGCGTGTGTTATTCTAGGTCTTACTGCCGTTTTATA